TTTTGACAGTTATTTTGCACCCACTATCTTAAGTCTTCAGCTGAAAAAACTAGTAAAAGGATGCTGGAAAAGTTGTTTGGTGTGCGAACTGAAAGCCCAATGAAGTTGAAATAGCTGCTCGTTATATTGGAAGTGTTTTTGAACATAAAGGAACTGTGGCTCTCTTCCAGTCAAGCGGCCCGCATTCGTCTTATCGTTTGTAAATGAAACGGAGTTGGGTTACTACGAATACAATTTATTAGCTTGACTAGGCAAAAAAAAGTGGGGCCTACCAAACTGAAAGAGCCCCAAAAATGTTTCATACATTATATCAAAAATAGACTCTAGATAATGACAACCAGAGAGATCCTTGTTTAGTTAAAATTTTGGTGATTCATGACAAATTGCTCTGTTTCTCGCATATTATTTATATAAGCTGATTAAAAATAAAAATTGTATTGTGGTTCTCTTATTTTTAGACAAAGGGAGCAAGAAAAAATCGCAAATTGAAAGTACTGAATCAAACACAGACGTGACTGCTGTACACTTTTTTCTACGCTAAAAGATAGAAGTTATTAAGGTAAAATAATTTGCAAATTAACGGTATTTTAACATGTTGCGTAAGTTACTTTTGCCAGTTTTCTTTTTTGTACATTAACATATATTCAAAATATTTCATCAGCAAGACTATTTTGTCATGAAAAACTTCTGAATAAAAAATTATTTCATGAGCCTGATGTCATAAATTCAATTTAAAGATTGTGCAAACGATAGAGTAACAGTCGACAATTATTCTCGCTTATGATACAAGTAAAAACCAGAAGACATTATCTCAGATTTTGGGTTATTTTCAACTGCAAAGCTAGGATTATTTTAAAAGAATTACTTTAAAGCAAACAATTTAAAATTAATTACTTCTTCAAAAACTACTTTACACGTCAAAAAAATTCATATTTTTAATTAGAACAAAAAAGTGCATACAATGATTCACAACGATTTCTAGTGAGATAGTGACAATCATTTTAAGAAGCTGTAGTTTTTATCTGTTATGTTCCACCTGTCATCTTAGATCTCCTTTGAAAAATTAGAAAAAGACATCTAAGAACGTAGAATCAGTCAAGAAAATATGCAATCTGATCTCCTCTATAAGCATCAAAAATATAAAGGTACGCGCTCTGTAAATCTTTGATAAAACGTCAGATAAATGTTTTACATGATATTAATATTAGAACACAGTAGTGTAGAATTTTTTAATATCCAGTAATTTTAGCAAAATAAAAAAAAAGCTCTTTGTTGTCGTTTTTTCTACCGATTGTTTTCATTAGTTTTGCTTCCCACTGCATTTGTCGGTACTGTTGTAGGAAGAACGATTTTAAGCAGCGGTGCGCGTTCAAAACCTTTCCAAAGCTGTTCCAATTGTCGCGACCATACGCGAAACAGCACTTATTACAGTAAGTGACCAACGAGATTATGTTCCCTGAGGGGACGCTCTCGGAGGAGCATACTACCCCGGTCACGCCACTGGTGGGATAAGTATAAATAGGGAGTGACAGTCAGCTAATTTTAGTGTCTTTCATTACAATCAAATATAATTGATTGTCGACAGTTTTCTATAAAGCTTTTTCTCGTTACGTGCCCATAGGTAGTTAATCGTGTCTTTATTACCATATCTTTGTAAAGGGTTCTTTGCTTATTATATTACATTATTGTGTATAATAAGATTTAAATTGTTTTAAGTAGTATCTTATGACGGATGTATAATCTAGTTTCTGAGTAATAAACTAGTTAGTAGAAAGCGTAGTATCGCACGCGTAGTAATTAGACATCTCCTCCTGTATATAGGTTTAGGTAGGTATATTACAACTGAGTAGCAATCCTCCTACACACAAGAATTGCCATCTATCTAAGGCGAGACAGTACGTAGAGGATTCAGGACTGGAAAGAGC